TAGATTGTCAATAATGTATAATAAGCGAAGCGTATGTGAGAAAATATCACCTGAAACTGTTAATCATATATTGATTTCATGAGGGTTGTATTGTACTGTATTTTTCTATTCCATTATTTTCAAAACAGTTCAGATATTTGACGACACATTGAGATATCAACCTATAAATAATTAGACATAAACGTATTAGCATTCAAGTAACACTTTATTGCGACAAGATATTATTCATCTGTTAACGGAGGACATAGGGGCCTCATACGACAGAGTGTCGGGGCCTTCTATATCGGGAGGGGTCGTCTACAGCGTAATCTATAGCTTCCCTGACTAAAGGATTTTCGTGAGTTTCAGCATAATCTAAAACTCGCCGATTCCTCGACTGAATGGAGAATACGACTCCAACTGACCTCCCTGTAAATTTAATCCAGGAGCGAGTCTACAGAGGAGAAGGATGTCGATTTTACGACTCCAACTGACCTCACTGTAAATTTAGATGGATGTCGAGTTTACGACTCCAATTGAACTCCCTGTAAATTTAGTTCAGGAGTAAGAGCTGTGGCGTACGCAGAATCTGTCTCAGGTGGAACTAACACCCCATGAGCAGGTTAGCAAACGTTTGCGCTCAAGTGAGGTTTCACCAAAACCAGAGGCGAAAAAGCCCTGCACGGCTGAATCTAAGGTATCGTCAGGTGTAGCTGACGTGCAAACACCCTCATATGGGAAGGTTGTCTGGGTATCAAGGTGGAAATCTTGCAACTTGACTATCCGACTACCTCATTAACAGAGCATATACTTTGTACCTGCCCCGCTGGGTACCGAATTAGGGCTTTAGAGTTCGGCAGAGCCGTACTCTTACCATCTGACCTGAAAGACTACTCACCATACAAACTAATCGGCTTCGTTAAGAAGCTGGGTTTGTTTGGTCGATTGAGAATAGGTGTGAGCCACAATTAACCCTTGCGGGTTGCGGTGGGGGGTCGAATAGACCCACTCATTTTGGACCTGAACACTTTATTGCGAAATTTTAAATAAAAAGTTTAGAAATTAATGAAACACGTGTTGCGGTTCTGTAAACTGTTTGGTAATTTTTTTCAAGGACAAAACACAAGCACGTTGGATTGGAATCGGTGGAAATTAAATCGATTTGGAAAGACGTTCTCAGGAAATTTATTCCACATGAACGCAGTTCTCCAAATGGGAGAGCTCTTAAATAGTAAAGTACAAGGGGTACTGAGTTGGACCTCAAAACGATGAGCAGCCACAGTCCGTCACGTATTTCTGATATGTACCGCGCTTGGTGGAATCAAATGTGCTGAGTCAGTTGAACACATCCCGTGAATATATCTAAAAAAGAGTGACAAATTCCAACGTTTCTTCGATGTTCCAGACTATCGAAGATGCAAGTAATGTTAGTGTCTCCAATCGATGGATGGCTCTTTTCTGGATGGAATTCAGCAGTTTTAGAATATGCTTAGGAGCGGAGCTCCATATATGAGAACAATAATCCAAAGAAGGTCTGATCTGTGCTTTATAACGCACCAAAAGTTGCTAGGCTGTGTACAGTTTTCGGGTTCGGAACAGTGTTCCAAGCTTTTGAGAAGCAGCAATTTCAATTGTCTGTTTTGACATTATCATATCTGGTTCGGGGACATTTATCTTCTTGGAGAAAACCGATGCTTGGGTTTTTCTGGCATTTAATTGAACCTGGTTACTTGCACCACGATTCAAAATCATTTCTAGATCCTCATTGAGATATGCAACCTCCTGCCTCCGTAGCCGATGTCCTGGAATCCAAATGGAATGACGAGACAAGTGTGTTGTCGTCAGCAAAGCAATATATTTAATTTTTCGTTTTTTCCAATAAGTCGTTGATATACAATAAAAAGAGCGTAGGAGACAATATGGATCCCTGGGATACACCAGCGTTGATGGTAAAAGTATTCGAGATATATCCATCGATGGCCATTTGCAAGGAACGTTCTTCCAGGAAGCTGGAGAGCCATACACATAAACGATTGGACAACCCAAAGCATCGAAGTTTGGCCAGCAAACCCTCATGCCACACACGGTCAAATGGCTTAAAAATAGCCACGTTTCTCGATTGCGTTATTCCAAATATAGATGACATACGGTAAAAGGTTGCCTGTTGATCTTTTCCGAGAGCCATATTGATGATCGCTCAAGATGATAACGCCTTCCAAATATTTAAGGATATAGTGGTTTACGGTTTGTTTTCTCCATGGTTTCCAAATTTGCTTGACTAGACGTTGTCGAAAAGTAATTTCCGGCATTGTGGATTTTATTAACAAAATTACCTGATTTGTATCAATGTACATAGTATTTTTGAAGAATTACAAATGTCATAAAAAATTATTCTATCATTAAATTTTATGTTTAGCATTTATACTCCTACGCGTATTGCTCATATTTCTCCATTACATAAAATAAATGACGGTAGTCAAGAAACATCCTGTATACTATTTCATCAGAGATCAGCATTGCGTACCATATTTATCTCATTCCACTGAATTAAAATACTCAGCAATCATCCGACTATTATTATTTAAGAGGTTCCAAACATAGCGTTTCAGTAATCAACTGCAACTATTCTATTTCAGTAGAATGAAAGTGAACATGCAGTTTTTCAATCAGCCTGAAACGAGCAACTCTCTCACTGTCACTGTCAAGGATAGACCGAGAATCACCAGAGTTGAGTATGAATGAAATATTAGGAAGTTGAAAAAAAACTTTTATATATTCGATCGTGGATCGTGACTTCCGGCGAAGGTATTCACATAACAAACGCAAACCCAACATCCGTTATAAGTTGTATTCGATACACAGTCAGCTGGTTTTTAAATATACGGAATAGCCGTCTACGATTTATACGATACCGAGGAAATCGACATTCAGAGTAATGTATCCTCTTCCAGTCAGAATAAGGATTATTTGCTATAGAGTAGTCGAATAAAACTCGTTTTAGAAATGGCATATCGAAGTGGCCGAAAAGCACTGGATTTTTCCTGTCCGTGCTTTTCTTCAAATTATATATTCGCTACAGAAAGTAATATCAAGTGTTTTCAATAAAAAAGGTTACTACATACTCATTTATGTTACACTCCTTAGGTATAAAGTAGGATCGTTTCAAATTACCCTCAGGTCAATTAAGGGCATTTCCTCAAGGAAAAAAGGTTATGCAGGATGGGATCTAATACATTAAATGAAATTTTCATAGTCTAGTCAAAATGGTCAAAAACTTGAAACAAACCTACAAATGTTCAAAAAGAAATAACAATATCAACTGTTAAATCGATTCTGAAATAATTTCCTACATAAAATTGTAAGATGTGTAGTACATACTACATTAGATGTCGAATACATGGAAAAATGCTTTCGTAATTTTCATGATTGCAATACTTTTGGAAGAATCCAATACAAAAATAGGTATTATCGGTGAGCTGGCTAATAAATATACTATTGATGCGTAATACACTTCTACTGATATAATCAAGTAGAATATTCAAATATCGATAAAAAAATGTATGTACGATCCCCTGTATATTGGATTTTAGATGTCCTTTCTCAATGATTATTATCTACGATTTTCAAACTATGTTCAAATAAACGTATCACCCATCTCGTCGGTTTGGATGGATGCACTGCAAAAAATATCGTGGACTTGTTTAAATAAACGTCACTCCCTTGGGTTTGGATTGATGAGTATAAATAACCTCTGAATGAAAACCTCTTAATGAAAAGAAAAGTTTCGTTTTGCTAGAAAGACTAGTCCTTCTTGGGTAAGAAAGGTTTTGGTTTTCTACTTCTTCAGAAGTTCTCCACATTTTGGATAGAAAAATGGAGAAGAAGAAAACCAAAACCATTCTTTTCCAAAAATAATCTCTCCTAAAATATGTATCTTTTATATTCAAAAAACACTTTGTTGTGAGATTTTCACTAAAAAATTTTACAAAAACGCAACACGTGTTTCGCCATACAATATCTTCTTCGGGCACGTCTTTTCTGTTTAGTGAAAATCTCACGAGAAAGTGTTTTTTGAATACGTTAGTTATGGATTTTCATCAAGTATCGGCCAATTCCATTATATTTAGTCAATCAATTTAGTCTTCTCATTTTAAAACATATAGACCAAAGAATAAAAGTGCTCGAAGCTCGAATGTACTTTTAATGGAATTATTCGAATGTTAACACTGGTCTACAGTGGAGATTTTTCAAAATAAGAGGACTTTACTCTTGTTTCAAAATCAAATATTTGAAGGCTCCTCGTATATTACGTGTGTTTTACTGAATTTTGTTGGTGCATGTTTATTTTTAGGGGATGCACAAACTTTTATCAAGAATAACTTTTTGTCGAAAAACCCTTAATAAATGAGTTTTCCATATGGTGCATATTTTGGGGATGACACGGTATATGGTGAAAAAAAAACATTTTTGATTTATCCACGTTGAAAACGCCAATATTTCTCATCTCAAATAAGATGAGTCTAATGATGATTGAAATTTTCTGATATTTTTCTCCGGACTCTCCATTGATTGAACATATATAATTATAAACATGGCGAAGCAAAATATTTTCAATTTTTTCCGTTGAGGTTTTGAATCTCAAATCATTCAGTACCTACTGATGTTTAACTAATGCTTTTCGAATCTAAACTCCTAATCAGTTGACTTGCCTTGATTTGAGTCAAAATCGAGGCCAAAATGTATATAATGAAAGACTCACATGTTGCAAAATGAAAAACAAAACGATTATGTTTGCGTGCATTTACTGACCTCCACCAAAAAACTCTAAATCAGTACGGTCGTTCTAAACAAATTCAAATAGTAACCCAATCGAATGGGTACAGGTTTCAAAAACAGAGAAGAATGATTTCGACGGTACAATTATTATGCAGCTGCTAATTCAAAACGATTATACACATTATAATCTAAAAGGTGAAGATACTCTTCTCTCTCTACACCAATTCGAAAACAGGGTGACTGACCTGAAAATCTTGCTAGGAATCGGTGGAAGCCGGTGGCGAGAGCCTGCGCCAGGCACCGAGAATCCAGGGGGAGGGGGGAGCGCCGCCCCCAGCCCCTCGACGACCACATCACGTGCGCCACTGAAACAGAAATTTACCAGAATTAAAATAACATCTAAAATCACTTAACATTAACAGTATCCTAGTATTAACAATAAATGAAAGTCGGATTGAATACAATTGAAATTATGAAGAGTCTATCCGGTGAGGGAAAAATGAGAGATTTATTTTATGCCTGAGGTTTCAAATTCTATTTATCAAACTATATGCAGACTTTAATAACTATGAAAATCAAACTTTTTATTTCTTTACGAGGATCTTGGCGTAAGCTGAGTTTATGAGTTTTATTCAAAAATAAGTCAAATTTTACACTGAATAAGAGTATTCACCACCACGATACGATAATTAAAAACCAGTTCCTTGTGCCAATTGAGAAATTAAAAGTGACTTATTCTGGGCCAGAATACATTGATCCAAAAATTTACAATTTTCTTACTGAATATGTGAAGGCTTCAAAGCAACTGTCAATTTATAAACGATTACTGAAAGCATATCTATTAGAAAATTGTTTTTATACACTAGCAGATTTTTTTAATTATCATTAGGTATGTTCTTCTTTTACTATAGCCTCATTCAATTTTTATAATCAAATTTTAGTATCTTTATTTTATTATTTTGGCAGTTTCCAATACTCGTATTGTCTTTATGGAAATGAGGTATTATTATTATTATATGTTTTGTTTGGATATAAACCTGATACTGTTTTCATCAACATGCTTGGTCATATAAAGTTAATTCCAAATATTCAACCGTTTTCTATTCAGAAACTGAAACTTTATTGTTAAATGTAGAGGAGTTTCTATTTTTCTCCCAAGTTATACAAAGTCCACCAAATCGAAGAAAAAATAAATAATACATAATCAATCTAGACTAAATAATTATGACATGTCTCGGGCAACACATCTTACGTACAATGCATCACCAGTATTTCAAAATGTATACCGACGAAATATTCATTATTGGCAGACACGAGGACATGATAAATGAAACAGTTTAATCGATAAATTGAATCAGTTGAAGATTTAATTGCAGTCATAAATCATAAGAGATTATATCATCAACTACAAATGTCCATAAATAATAATCTTCTGAATTCAAGATTTCATTCTCACACCTACAATGCACTACTAGTAGACATACGTCAATGATAACAACTAAGCAGATCGGACAAAGTCTCGCCACTGAAAGCTTGCGAAAGAATTGAACTTAATCAAGATGGAACTCTGTACTTGAATACTTTTATCTGAATGTGAATTTTGAAATTTTAGATTCTCACGAATCTTCTCGATTCTATATAGACTGAATAAATTTTACTATAATTGGTATTACGAGTTAGGAAGTTTCAATTGTAAATACATTTTAAATTCCCCATTTCCCAAGTTCATCAAAATAGGTCAACGTAGCTAATGTTTTCAGAGATTTAGTTACTTTCAAAGTTGCTTTCAAACCTATGGGGGATTTTTTTCACTTTGAAATTCGCCATTTCACAAAAGGAATATATGCTTCCATGGATATAGAATAACTTCCGTGACTCCAAAGGCACAAGTTGATGGAAATTTCGGAAATGATCTTGAAGATCCTCCCACTGAGCAGATATGTAATACCAAACTTTGCGCGACTTAGATTGTTCCCCAACATTTATCGGTAATTCACTCGACACTGAAATGAGTGTGTGGTCAGAAGATCCCAAAGACCTTACGGTGACTGTGTAAGTTTCTAGATTGGTAGTTAGGTATAAATCCAGAAGAGAAGCATACTCTCCATCAGAAATCCTGGTTGACACATTTATAATCTGAGTCCGCTGCTTATCGCAAAAGCCTCAGCTTCGCGACCTTGTTCGTCGTTGATATTTAAAAATTTGAGCTATTCGATATTGTGGACACTGAGGTCACCGAATTTGGAAATTTCGGCACTGGGATGATTGACTTGCAGAAAGTCAATGGTGTTTGCAAGTAAAGGGAATATTGTGTATCGCTTGGTGGTCGATAAACGCAACATATAAATTTAGTGATCTTCTGTCATATTATTTTGAACCACATAACATCAAAGTTTTGGGGTTCCAGCATTTCCTCTCGCTGACAGGAGATATATATCTCTTCGTATAAAAAGAGATATTCCAAAGTTTCGTCTGAACCGGGAGTGGAAATCATAGCCTGAGTATAAAATTGACGGGGTTTGTTGAAGCACTGACTTTGGTATCTGTGAGTGCAAGAATATGAGGACTATTTGTTTGCAGATATCGGTGCACTGAGATTATATTTGAGTTGAGTCCTCTGATGTTGCAGTAATCGATTTTGAAGTTGCTAGTGGGCCTCTTAGCGACTGCAGTTACCATGCTATTCATCTGTGGAATGATGTTAGGAAGACCCTGCCGACTATCAGAAATAGTGGTTTTCGAAAAACTTCCCTCGAATCAACCCCCACCCGGAGATCCGAATGGGGAACTAACTATTTCACCACCGGAGTATGTTGACCCTGGGAGCGCTATCATGCAATTTTTTCTTATATTCTCACCCTTGGAACGGGAAACAACGGCACAGCGACAAACGTTAGCCCGAAAGCAACTTCACGCTGCCTAAGCCGTTACAATGGTATCTCACCGGGTGATGCCGAGTGGGACCAGCATCTACCCGCTGCCTAAGCCGTTACAATGGTATCTCACCGGGTGATGCCGAGTGGGACCAGCATCTACCATCCTATGATGTGGACAAAGAAGCTTCAATTTCAAAATTGATTTTTTTTCATACAGTAATTTTCAACAAACCTGATACCAACAAAGAATTCTAAATCATTTTCGAAATTAAATCTAATGGATGAACAAAATATGGTGGTACTATATTGCATCCTTATCTGTATCTAATATTGATGCTTTTGAAAAGGATGTTTGTTTTACTTTCTGGCAATAAGTATTTCCAATTCTACGATGTTTCTGGCAATACAATCAATTTCGTTAGTCTAAATTAATTAAAGTTTCTGAAGAGACATAGGTATCTTTATGTGAGCTAGTAGTAGATAATCTGGAATAATCTGGAATATTCTGATGTGTTTCAATAACTTCAACAAAATTACTGTCGAAGAAATATTATTATTAGTTTGGATCCTTCACTTCGAAATCAAACCAGAATCTCAAACACTACTAACTTCCTTTGAAAGGGAGGTTGTATTAACAAATCATAGGTATGGATCAATCTTTTGGGATGTCTAGACCAACGAATGTGGTGGGAGTTGCAATCAGTGAGAAAAACAAAAACACCCAAGATGTGAAAATGTTCTTTCAATACTAGTTGAATTAATAACGAAAATCTAGAAATATAGAAGTTTGGAATGACATTTTTATTGCTGATCAACCAATTTCCAGTTGACCCAGGATTTGAAGAATGGCAAACCTTCTTCGATGTAAATTATATGAAATACTGATCTGATTGTGACCACCTAGCGAATTAATATTCATGACAAAATGAATGAATTATAGATTACTATCTATAATAAATTTTCTTATAACCTTGTGAGACTGGATGTGACAATTATTTTAACCACTCATCACTGAATGAATGGAGACCCAGTAAAACAATTCAAGAGAGATTATTCGAGCCTGCCCAAAGTTCCGTGGCACACATACACATGCGAGAAGTATATCGACGGAGAAAGATTAACAAAGCCGCCCGAGTCCCCCTTCAAGAGTGGCATACCCCTGGTCTGAACACACTCAAGGCTGTGGGAAAGCTTACAGTTCAATGGTAATCAAAACGGTGATTCAATTCACCACAGAACAGCGATCGTAATTATTACTATAAAGCCGTTTGTCCACACAACACATACCTATCTATTAAAAGTAATATTGAGCGAGGAATTTGCCTTCATTTCGGATTTCTCTTCATTGCCAATCCAATAACGTGCCGATAAATGTATGTAGTGGCAAAAGGTTTCTTATATTGAGTTGAACACGTTTCGCTTGACACATATCAGGTATTTAGTCTGATGGCTTATTTCGGACAAAAAAGATTTTGAATTAATAATTCTTTTCAGTGCAAGGGTGTGAAATAACATTTGTTAGTAAAGTATCTCACAGACCAATGTATCAGTAATAATTATTTCATACCCCTCTCAAGCGAGTAGCATTTATTTGTATTTTATTTTAATTTGTTTTTGTTTCTAATTTGTTTCTCACCATTCAACGTATATATTAGACCAGGAAAAAAATTCGGATTGAAAAGATACCAAATTGATTCTAGAAGTGGATATAGAAATTTTAGCCGATAAAATGGCCCGAAGACTGGTGTACCGATAAAGCGGCCTATCGGCAGTTCGTTTTTCTCCGTCACTACGTCATAAAATATCACTTCACAGTGAAAGATTGTATTAATTTAAAAAAATAATAGGTTACCAAAACAAAAAAAAAATTTTTTTTCAATCTCTCTGAAAAAGGCTACCAGTATTATACCATGGATACCTAACTCTTTGAGGAAAAAAATTCAATCATATTTTACTAATGGAAAATTTTACCTTTGCCCCATTGGTGAATCCACGTTATACAAACTTTTTTTACGTTAAATATGAACAAATCGAGGAACAAATCTATGAAATATCAAAAAGGATGATTATTGCTGAGCAACCTAGGCAGCAATGTAATCGAAACTATTAATGATAATCACTGAAATTTTTAGCTAGAAAAAAGGTTATTTTACAACATTTTGCTGGTGAAGGCACTTAAAACTGAAACAATGATTTTCTTGACTTACTCGATATTGAAATTAGATTAAGTTTATCAAATAAATTGTAGATGTAAAAAACCTGTTGTTAAGACAACAATAAATGGCACCAGCTGGTAGTGACTCCAGCGCACCGTTTTTTTCTGAAGCTGGCGACATGAAGTAAAACGTAGCTTGCTAATACCTGATGATACAGAAGGTTCATTATTTCAACATCACGATCTACCAAAACTACAATATCAGTATTAATGAAATATTTTTATATTCGTTATATTTCACACATTTTCATTTCTATCCACAGAATAATAATTT